TTTATATACCGCCCTTCTCCCTTGCGGGACTCAGGGCGGTGAACAGGCACATTAATAAAACAGAAGGGGACTAAGGGAGGAAAGTGATGAAGATTGCATTGTGAAATGTGACACAAACTCTGCCCCTTACATATTTCTGTGCAGTATCATGACATAAGTACGAAATGGTGGAGCTTGCTTCATGATGGCATGACACATATTTCATCATATTAGTGTAAGTGTGATTAGGAAAAGAAGCCCGTATGGTGAATCTCAACAGTCTACTTAAAACAAAATTCTTGCAAACTTGAAATTCACCAATATATTTCAGCATCCCCAAAGTCAGATCTCTCTGGATTCCTTTTTTTTAAAATTTATTTAGAACATATATAAAGCCAGAGGAAGAAAACAGTAATTTGGTTCACACATTGCTCAATTTTGTCTAAGACTAGACTAGATCAACCTTTCTCAACATGGTGTATTTAAACTGTGATAGAAAATGGAAATGTAAACATAATATAGGCACGTATTACCACATTTGGTGGACATGTGGCAAAGCGAAGGCTTTTTGGAGAAAGATACATACGTGGTTAGAAAACATATTAGGTGAGCATGTTGATTTTAAACCTGAACTTTTTTTACTAGGTATAATGCCTGAAAAGATTAATAAGCAGAGTCTATATTTAATTTTACACATCACTACAGCAGCGAGAATAATCTTCGCACAATACTGGAAGAATGAAGGATTGCCATCAGAAGAAGAAATAATCAGGAAAATATTGGAATGTGCAGAGATGGACAGATTAACTATGAGACTGAAAGATAAAGAAGATATAGACTACTACCAAATTTGGGATTTATTTTATCGTTGGTTGGAGGAAAGAATGAAGGATTAGGAATCGAACATGTATTAGCATAGCTAATCCCAGACAACTCGTTGATTGGAAAAATTAACATATGTATATAAAAGAAAACCAATAAAATCTTTATATAAAAAAATAAACTGTGATAGACTGCAGTTTCTATAATCCAACCAATCTTGAATACACTGTATCTGGTTGGAAAGAGTTAGACTACCGGTAAATGAAATCAAGTGGATTAAAACCTATTACCTGAAGTGTTGTTAATACGTACCTTGGGAATTCTCCTTTCCAGTTTTTCTCCTTCTCTTCCATCTTTGTTTCAGGATTACAAGCCATAATATTGCCATGATGATTACTAGCCCCCAAAAAGCATAGAAACCAAATATTAAAGCTGAACAATTTTGGTTTCCAGTATGAAATTGCACTGGTTGGGTTGTAATGGAGGTTGTTCCAAGTATAGTAGCTGTGGAGGGAAACAACAGTTCTAAGTGGGTCATCTTAACAGAGATGCTTCTTCTTTCGAAGTGAAGTGAAGGGTTCCATTTTGGTTCGTGGCACACCAAATTCAGTAAAAGGAACAATGAAGCAAGAAGTGTGCTACTGATTCAATTGTGCTATCAAAACAGAATCAAAATGTTTCATATCTCCCCTCTGTTAAAGCATGAAACCTCAACAATATAAATACTTTTCCATGTGCAGCAGATACAGTCCTTTAAAGACAGAAATCATGGAAGGAGTCCTGGAAACAATGTGATGGAAAGTTAAGCCTGTTGTTCTCTATATCCTTGCTCCCTGTTTCCCCATCCGCTCATCTTTTATTCCCTATCTCTGTATTCTCATTTTTTTATTGTGTATTCTATTGTTCCATTATTTTGCTACTGTTATGTTTATACTTTTCATTTCTCCGTTTGTATTGTTGTAAGCTGCCTAAAATAGCCCCACAGCATGATTTAAGCGGCAAACAAATTTAACAAATAAATACCCAGATCAAAGATTCTCTACTTGTTTCCATGGATTTATCACTTTCAAGGGTTGTTAGGAACTAGACAACCTTTGACCCATTACAGAGATATTTCCTTACCTAAACAGAGCAACAGAATGACTGCAGGCAAGCAAAAGAGCATTGGGAGTGGGAGCGACCTTTGAGTTCCTGTTGGCTTCCCCATTGACTTACCTTGTGGGAAACTGGCAGCCAGCATTGGAAATTATAATCATGTGACCATGGCATCATGATGGTGTAGCAGTGCAGAAGCACTGAAGCAGGCACAACTTTGCCAAATGTCAATCCCATTGAGACTGATGAGTCCCTGATTTTGGATACATTTTTTAAGTTAGCCCTTTTGAGATACATTGATTTAAAAATTATTGCCTTATGATGCACCGTTTCTCCCAATTGAAAATTACAAACAAACAGGATAGTTTTAGTAGTGTATAAATCAGAAAAAGAAGATGCAGAAAGACAAATCATTGGCTTTGGTTTATTTCCAGATAGAAATAAACTTATCAGCAAAAGTGAACAAGGCTAGTGATTCACCCCAGAAAGTCTATTTTAGTTAATATATCATGCTCTAGATTCACATTTCAGCTGCTTCAGAGAAGGACATTCACAATCTGTTTTTGTTTTACTTAAATATACAATAGATTAGAATAAATAATAAATAATTAAATAAGCTCACCATTTTAAGATTAAATACGCAGATAGCTGCAAAGAGCCATCTGGTATGTTCTTGTTGCAGCTAGCAAATCTTACAATTATACTCATAATGTTTTGAGCTCAGGCTGTAACCCCTCAAATTTGCTATGTCTAGGAAGAAGACTGAAAATAACTTATCTAAATAGTTAAATACAATGATTTGCTTGATAGAACAATTAATTTTCCACTTGCACAGGAATTATGTCTGATGAAAAGCAAATTCTTTGTTTTAGAACACTTTATTCTGAGCTCTTCTGTCTGGCAGAAATCAACCAATGTCCAACACCCACTCACTCATAAACCTTAAATGGAGCTTTAATTACACCTTCATGGACACTATCTTGATATTGCTTAACCACATACTGCCTATCCCATCTGAAGGACAAGACTCCAAAAGCAATTTCATTGGACATAAATCTGAAAGACTAAGCATACTGACTGCAAAATATCTCAGTTGCGCACTCTCACCCTCTGCATCTCACTGTTTGAAAGTTGCATTACAACCTTCATACCAGTTTGTATGGGAAAAAACAAAACATTCCACCAGATAATCCTTACCCATCCATATGGCCGGAAATTCTGTAACTGGACGACAAAGAAGACTGACCTAAATCATGAAATAAGGCTTTGTTTTGTTCCAAAGTTAAGACTGTTTGTAAACTCTGTGATTAGTATATGGTACAATGTGTTGGATGAACCTGACTAACTTATTGAAACACAGTACAATTGACTGTTTTAAGATTTTAATTGGAAGCGATGGGTTTTGGATGAAGAATGAGATGACAGAAATGGGAGAAAGAAAGAAAAGGGGCATTTTGTTTTAAAGCGATAAAAGACTAAAAAGGGCTATGTATAGAATATACGTACCAAAAGTTCTGAATCAGAAGACAGTTAAAATAGATATATTTGCATATTTTCTTCCTCTTTATTGAAGAGAAGAGAAAAGAACCAAAAGGATGCTAACATTCTGCTCTGTTGGTATGAGCTGCTTACTAAAATTTCAGTTGAGTGTTCATTACAAATACTTGCATACATATCTTCACTAATGAAGATAGTGAAAGAGGAAGTTGTCACGATTAATGTTTGATTAATTTTGCACTAAATCGACTGCTTTGATTAAAGAAAAAAACACAATTACTTTTGTTTCTTTTTGAAAACCGCTTCTGGACTTTGTGCTTGAGGTAAAAAAAAAAAGAAACTTTAATTTTGGATTTTACCAGTTAGATAGGTTTGCTGTTATCGAAATGGCTAGTTTATACTATTATGTTAAAGTAAAAAAGTTGAGGTTTGATGTTATTATCATATTCTATTGCACCAAAGGGAGCCAAAAGTCAATGCCTTTTCTTTCCTTTTTCCCTTTTTCCTTCACTTTTCCCTTCCCCTTTTCCTCCTCTATCTTTCCTACTATTTTCTTTTGTATTTTTCTATTTTCTATTATAAATTAATAATGAAAAATAAATATATAAAAAAGAAAAAAAATACTTGCATACATATTTTCACTAATGAAAGAAGGGTAAACTAACTTTGCTAAAAATGAAAAAGGAAGGTTTCACCTTGATGAATTTTGCACAACCCCAAATTATTTTCTGCACTCCCAGACAGTGACCATAAACCAAACCTCTAAAATAAAAGCCTATAAATATAGCATGACAGCTAGGGTAAGAAGGAAACACATGTTTGCCCTTTTATGTATAGTTAGAAATGGAAGGAAACCCACACATTATAGAAGGGAAGCAGATTTTAAACAAATCTGAAAAGTGATTTGTACTATTCTAATAAAACAGCAAGCAGATACTGCAGACCTGAAGTCTACTTGCCATTGCTTATAGATTCTTTTATTGGAGTTACGTAACATGTTTAAGCCCAATCCCAGATTAACCAGAAACTTCTCCAATTATCTTTGCATTCCCCAAGATAAACCATGTTATGATTTCATACTATGGCCTAATTCACACAAAACACTAGGACATTGAGTGAGTTTTCCACAACCTGCTGATTCACAATTGCACAATTCTATTCTACCTTTGTCAGGCTTGTGGTGTGAAACCAATATGAGTCTCAAGTGATGTGAAGGACCCGCTAAGCCACGAGTGTCAAACTCAATTTCATTGAGGGCCGCATCAGCATTGCGGTTGTCCTCGGGGGGCCGGGTAGGTGTGGCCAGGGTGGGTGCGGCTGTTAGGAATAAAATTTTAGAATAAAAAAGTAAAGTTAAGTGACACGTACTCTGCAAAATTTCTACACGTAGACAGTAAGATTTCTACACAAAATTTCTACATGTACACGTACCTTGTAAGAGTTCTGCACGTAGGCTATAGGATTTCCACACTGAGCTATAGGATTTCATGATAAAGTACATATAAGGGAATAGGTGAAGCAAAATAGTAAGGGGCAGGGATAATGTATTTTGTTTAGGCGGCTCTGATAAGATTGTAACCTCAGAGGAGGGCCCAAGGCGTCGGGATAGAATGTATATAATGTGTGTCTTTGTTGTGACTAGGGGTGGCTCAAATATTTATTTGGAGTCCACCACGCTTTGCAAACCGTTATATCCAATAAATCTCTGTCTAATTTCAACTTGCTGTTTGGTGTTATTCAGTGGGCTAGAATTTCTACCAACAATTCTGGCGCCCAACGTGGGGCTCGGGACCGGGATCGTTTGTCTGCACCAGATCCAGAAGGTGACTTGGAAGGCATGCCCTGTCGATTTCGACAGTCTATGTCATCTTGTTGGTAAAGGAGCAGCAACGCTTTCCTCGGCGAACCCATAGAGCTGATGTTGGACAGAGATAAGAATTGAACCGGTGTGTGTGTTGCTGGCTTCCAGGAACTGGGCAACTCCGTACACGGACCTAGGTAAGTGTTCTGGGGTGGCCAGTATACACTGCCTAAGCAGTTGGTGGGAAGGCTGGGTAGGCTTGTGTGAATTTGAGACAGTGTGTGTGTGACATCCCAAGTATCCGCTTAGCGGATAGCAAGACGGAGCGAGAGTGGACCGCTGATAACTCTAGATTCACGCGAGTGCATATCTAGAGGGATCAGGGGGAAGCGAATTGAGGAGTATACGTGAAGTCTCAATTAGAATCCACAGGACTGTAAACCAGTATGGGCAACATAGGGAGTACTCCAGGAGAGAAGTGTTTGAGAAAAATAAGGAGGAACCCCAAATTAAATATAGATAAAGAACGTCCATTAGGGATTTTGTTGAGTAATTGGGGAAAACCTCCGTATAATGAAATAATTAGTAAAATAAACATAACCAAGGAAGATATGGTTAATTTGTGTTGTTTTCTCTGGTGGGAAGATGAAAAAGTAGAGTGGCCTAGATTAGGAACAAATGACTATTTTGCTTGTCAGAATTTATATGAGTATGTGTCAAGGAAAACATGTAGATCATTAGTCAATGAGTTAGACTATGCTTTAATTTGGAACCCAGGTAAATGGGTCACCTTGACTATGAGGGGCCCTAGCCCTCATAAAGTAACTTCAATNATGGTTGCCACAATAAACCAAGTAATAAAACAAAAGGAAAGAATACAGAAGGAAAATGGATATTACCTGATAGATAGCAGATGTTGAATAAAGCCATAACACGTGAAGTAATCCAAACACTCCATGAGGGTTTTAGAAGACGTGTTTCTGAAAGGTATGGCTACAGGAGAGTTTTCACTGTTGTGAAACAAATAACGGCCGGATGTCTCATTTTGCAAGAAAGTTAATAGGCAAGCTCTAAGAGCAAAGGAAATTGGGAGAGAAAAGGAGCTCATTGGCTTTTGAACAGTTCCTTGAAATTATAATAATAATTATTTCTTTGTTAGGAGAAAGTATGAAATGAAATATTTGTATGTGAAAGTGTTTATACAAGCAGTTTGAATGGAAGTGAATGTGTGGATATCCTGATCCTGATCCTGTGTGTGTGTGTGTGTGTGTGTGTGTGTGAGTGTGTGAGTTTCTCCCCCATCCCAGACTGTGAAAGAAACAGTAAACTGCAGATTTTTTGTTGTTGTTGCTGTAAAAGTGAAATGGAAAATGCATGTGAAGAAGAGAAAACTATTTTGTTAGTGGTGAAATTGTTGTGTAATTTCTTCTTCTTTTCCTGTCTCTTTTCCCCCCATCCCCAGCTGGCTGTGTTGCTTTAAGAACGAGAGAGACAGAAAAGAAAAGGGGGGTCTGATCTTTTTAACTTTTTTTTCTGCTTAGAATTCTGGTTTGAGGATCTTATTAAGCTTGTTTATTTATTTATTTTGTGGAGTTGCTTTTTTGTTGTTGTTGTTTTATTTTTTATGTTTTTATGTCTCTGTGCAGGACACACTGACAATAATAATAATGGTAATGATGATAATAATAATGATAATAATGATAGTGATACTTAAAAGAATTGAAGGAATTGTAATTCAACCCTTGCTTAAAATGAAGGAGTTGAGAAAATTTCTTGGGATTATAAATGAGCTATGTTGTTTTGAATAAAGATTTGTATGCAAACAAACTCAAGCAGAGTTTGGTGAGCGTTCCTTTGTTGGCTCTTTACTAAGTAATCTGTTTGTAAATACATATGGACAAAGGAATGGCTAGGGGAGGGATAATTGATACTTTTCTATGGTTAATATATGGTTGGCTATACAATAAGTATGATATGTAGACAAATACATAAAATGCTCTATAACATCTAATGGTGAGGCTATTTCAATGCATTCAAGTTTATTTTAAATTACCTCAAGTGGGAAATTCCACAATATGAAACTCAAATGACTTGGATAAAATGTTTACCTTTAGTATTGTTGCGAATAAGAACACAACCACAGAAAGATTTAGGATTGTCTCCTTATGAATTGTTGTATGGTGTGTCATTTATGCCTGGAAACATCTCCATGGACTCTTTAGTAACAAGGGATAAAGTAATAAGACATTATGTGCATAAACTGTCGCAGTATCTTGATCATTGCAGGAAACAAGGCTTGTTGATCC